AACTTCCAGTAATGTTGGGGCTAATTTAGAAGATGGGAGGACTCCCTTGCTGAGATATTTACATGATCCAAGTGCTAAAATTGATAAAGGTGTTCGGTGGAGTGCTTTCAAGTATGCATTACATAATGATGAGCTCTATCGGAGAACCGCCAAAGATTTATTGCTCAAGTGCTTAGGATCTAATCAAGTAAGAGTGGCTATGGGAGAAGTCCATGAAAGCATTTGTGGTACGCATCAATCGGCCCTAAAGATGAAGTGGTTATTGTGTAGAGTCAATTTTTATTGTCCTACTATGATGGTCAATTAGTTTTCCCTTCCCCAGACCCCACTCATGTGGGAGCCTCCAGCACTGAGTCTGCCCTTTTTTTACTATGATGGTCAATTGCTTTCGTTACTACAAAGGTTGCGAAGAGTGTCAGAAGTTTGGAAATATTTAGGTTGTGCCTGCTGCTATGCTTCATCCTATTATCAAACCATGATGTTTTCGTGGTTGGGGGCTAAACTTTATTGGCTAAATACATCCCCTGTCTTTAAAGGGACATCGTTTTGTGTTGGTTGCTACGGATTACTTTACAAAGTAGACCAAGGTAGTTCCTTTGAAGAATATGACACATAAGGAGGTAATTGAGTTCATCACTGAGCATATTATTCATAGATTCGACATCCCTCAAACATTAATTACCGATCAAGAGAAATCATTTGTGTCAAGGAAGTGAGGAAATTTACCGAATTATATAAGATTAAGTTGATCAATTTATCTCCATACTATGTTCAAGCTAATGGCCAGGTTGAGTCTAGTAATAAGACTTTGATCAAGCTTATCAAGAAGAAGATTGAGGAAAATCCAAGGAGATGGCATGAAGTTTTGTCTGAAACTCCATGGGCACACTGCATTTCAAGACATGGTGCTACAAAAGTTACTCCTTTTGAGTTGATATATGGTCAAGAGGCCGTGTTGCCCGATGAAGTAAATTTGGATGCATATAGGCTTGCTAAACAAAATGATTTACCTGCTATTATGTATCACGATTTGATGATGGATAATATCGATGAGGTGACTGATGTAAGATTAAAAGCTCTCAAGGAAATAGAGAAAGACAAAGCTCGAGTTGCCAAGGCATACAACAAGAAAGTCAAGAGAAAATCCAAGTGGGATAATTAGTGTGAAAAACCATACTACTAATTGGATCAAAGAGCAATCAGTTTGACAAGTGGTCACCAAATTGGAAGGGTCCTTACAAAGTGATCAAAGTCATATTCAAAAATTCTTATATGTTAGAGACATTGCAAGGTGAATGTCTCACAAGAGCAATCAACAGGAAGTATTTGAAAAGGTACTTTCTAAGTGTTTGGCAAGAAGCCTAAGTGCTCTCCAAGCAATGGTCGATACATGTATCGCCCTTAGAACAAAAATGGCCAATGTATACATCGCCCTTAGTCACTGAGCAGCCGATGAGATGGGTATCGTCGTTGTTCGGTTTTTGTTTGATTAAGTGTTTTCAGGTTCATACATTATTCACCTGAAAATAGGGGCACATGTTGGTAACCAAAATTGTCCATTTTGTGAAGTTATTAAAATGTGAAACGGACTTCACCATTGCGTTTCTCTTGTTGAGATGGTCAAAAAATATACGGAACATCCAATTCGGAGTCCGGATGAAGGAGTTATGCCCCAGTAAGATGCTCTGTTGTTGGCAGTTCCGACCCAAGTCGGAAGTTTCGACAGTCGATGTCGGAACTTTTGGGAAGCCTAAAAAAACCTGCTCATGTGCCCGGGGTTATTCCTACATCGGGAGTTCTCACAAATGTCGGAAGTTTCGACTTTGGTCGGAACTTCGATAGACCTAATAAAAAGGCCAGTTCGGATCTAGCCTTTTGGATTCCGATCTAAACTATTCTAAACTCGTAGAAAACTTAGAAAATAAGTCTTAGAGAGGTTTTCTGTTAGGATAAGACCACCCCCTCTATATATATGAGAGGATCATGACCGATTGAGTTTCCATTTATCCAATCTACACAAAAACACAACAAATCAATCTACTACATCTTTTTACCCTCTTTTCCCAATCAACCTCTTCTCCTCGTTCTTCGTCTGTGCTGCATGGATGGAGGATCGATGACGATGACACTCTAGAGCAGTCAGGCCGGCTAGAGCCGCCCATAGCCGCCTCATGGCCTGACGGGGTCCCTCTCGGGTGTGTGGGGTTTTGGGTCTCAAGGGACCTCGCCGGTGTGTCTTGCGTATCGCACTCCCGGCGAGGCTCCTTCGGCAACGTGTCTTGCATATCGCGCTTATCGCTGGAGACACAAGGTCTAGGTGTGGACACCCCCTAGGTGTTGGCCGATCCCAAAATCGGCTAGGCCCTACATCGAGCGATCTAGCTCCTTATCGAGTGTGTGACCTAATTAAGCATCAACAAAAATAAATAAAACAAAATCAAGGTTCTACAGGGTTGTGAAAATTCAGGTTGCACTGCAAAAATTGCTACTATCAGTTCATCACTAGATTTATAGAGGCAAAGGTTGTTGCCAAGTTCAACTAATCACATCAACTAGTAGGATCCAAGAAAAGAAAAGGTTAATAATGGGCTTCAATCAGAACATCAAAATGAGCAGAAAATTTACTCGTTTTAAATTAAAACAGCAGGCCTTCAGTGTAAAAATAAAAAAGCACTGTTGGATAAATCAGAGTATTCAGCGGACATGAAGGGACGTGTTAAGAAGATGACATGTCTATGTCCTATACTCTCACACTGAGGCATTTTGGATTCACGGTCCATCAAAGAAGTACAAATCTGATGAATGGGAGGGGGATCAAAGCAAATGATGACGATTCGAAAAAAAATTTGAGAATTTTTCACAATCATGTTTATAACATGCATCCCACCCGTTCAATATTATGAGATGTTTTAGAATCTTTAACGAAGACCAATGCAGAAGGCAAAAGACCAAAATGCCTCTTAAGGAGTAGAGATATAGATGTGTATTGGAAAAAAGAGAAAGATGTATATGAAAAAGAGAAAAATACATTGAGAAATGAGAAATGCATATATTGAGAAATGAGAAGGTCAAGTATTTTGAACAAAATTTGAATCCTATAGTCTATCTATTTTTGAAATAGAGAGAGCATTTTGTTAAGAGGAGAGAAAAAAAAAATTATGTAAACACCACCCCGTGGGAAGCCATAGCTTAGCAGTAGGTAGCGCAACGTAGCAGGCAGTCAATCGGATTATACAGATACAAGCACTTGCGACTGCAAGCATAGCACATCACCCACCACAGGCTAATCACTAACACTATCACTATTATGTTAGCACCATCAGCGACTGAAGCGGTCTGTAGCCCGCGAGAACCCATTGTTCAGCTCCTTCCTCTTTTTCCATACTGAGCTAACTCATGCGCGCAGATATTAACTATTACAGTCATGAGGTAACTTTGAGGCATTAACAGCTCGGATCAGGCAATCCAAAAGAAAAAAGAGAATGGCTAGCGTCCGGACGTCTCTGATAGGACACGATTTCATCGGACGGCACCGAACAGCTCAGCAGAAATGCGTCACACTCCCACCGTATCGTTGCAGTCTTTCCCCGTCTGCCTCATCCCGCATGCACGCGTACCCGCCCCCCATCCGTCTCACGCCACCCCGTGCCCGTCGCTCCTTTCCTCTGACCTCCTCATTCCACGTGGGCGGGACCTAGGAGCCGAGACGAGGATGAGCACGCCCCACCCACAGGACCCTAGGCGCGTCGCGTGCCCCATCCGCCGGCCGCTGGCTCGCCGCGTCCCTTCCCCCGATGCCCGGACCGTGCCCCATGACTCTCTGAACATACCTCTGAAACACAAAACACTTGTAACATGAAACATTTGGATGCTACATACGTCTGAAGGAGATAAAACATTTGGATTTTGTAACATGTGTGTGAAATATATGCATCCAGATAAAACATTTGCAACTTGCAACATGAAAACATTAATTGCAACATAAGATTGAAACAACTAAAACATTCAAACATACTCTTTGCAACATATGTGTGAAACATATACAACATCAAAATAAGCACATTTGCGACATGCTTCTAAAAAAGCAGATAAAACATTTGGAAGAGACGCTTACAGCATACGTGTACAACCATTGCAACATGTGTAACATCACGATCTATTTTTGCAACACCCATATGAAACACTTGCAACATACCTTTGAAACATCTGAAACAATTAAAACATATGCTTGCAACATACGTTTTCAACGCAACATCTCCTTGCTGTTCGGCAGAATAGAGGCTCGTCGGTGTGTGGTGTTCACCGTAGGCAGCGGCCCTGCGGCAGTGGCTGTACGTCGCGGAAAGGAGGCATCGGCCACACGAGCGGCAAGGGTCCCGTCGCCGCTCGACTTGGAGAGGGCACCAGCGCGCCATGCCTGGCACGGCCGACAGCCGAGCGCCACGACTTGGAGGCAGCCGCGCGCAGTGCTTGGCAAAGGCCAACGCCCGAGCGGTGCGCCTTGAAGGCGGCCGCGCGCTGCGTCTCGAAGGGCCAACGGCCGTGCGCTCGAAGATGGCAGGCGAGCGGATAAGGGCTATAGGAAGAGGAACGAGTGGATAAAAATAAGTGGATGAGCAGTTTTTTTTAAAAAAAATAAAGAAGCTCGGGTTATTGGGCTGACGTCGTGGGAGCCTCCGGAAGGACGGACGTCCGGTCCGTATATTACCGAAGAAAAAAAAAGACACTTCGGATTGGGCCCGTTTGTGAACGGGCTAAACACACCCATACAATACGAGGTACAACTCGTTCCCGCACCCAACCCCGTCTCCCACGCAACCTGCTGGTTGGTCTTCCTCGCATCGCATCCGCATCCGAGAGTCCGAGACACCACCCACGAGAACCGTTGGATTTGGTGGACGGTCGATTCAGCCGATTGCACGCCTGTGGCTTCAACCCCGACGTCCCTTCCCAGCTCGTCGACCGCCGCCGCCGCCGCCCGACGTCGCCACTCGCCAGCCATGGGGTACACGAAGGACCAGCTTCTCGCGCGCCTCCAGGTCAGTACCACCACTCTCTGCCACCTCCGCAGCTCGGCACCATCCTTCTCTAGCTACCAGCCTTCTCGGATTTGCTTCCTCGCTGCCGTGCCTTGGAGATCGACTAGATTGGCGCCGGTGGCCACGCCAGTGCCCCTGCCTGTGTCACCATCGAGATGCTTCCGTCGCGCTTGATTTTCTCAGGATTTGGGTAGTTGTAAATCCTATCCTAGCGTTAAAAGGCGTGGTTGCATCGGAACTTACTCGTGCGGTGTTATGGAAGGAAAAAGGGTTTCTCCGTAGATGTGCATAAATTGAAGTGCGAATACTTATACCTAGATGTCTGGGTTCTGGATATTGCATTCCGAACACACTTTGCTTCCTAGCATCATTATGGAACTCGCTAGCCGGGGCTCAATTTGGTGCTTTTGTCTTCTGCAGGAGCTTAAGATTTATTTCACGTGCTATGATCACCCTGTTGTGTTGACAGTGGAGGAACAGGTAAGTGGACCAAGGAGTTCATACTTTGTTCTGCAATGGTCTCCATTGATTTATCATGAGTACTAATTTACTTCTTATTTGGCTATGCCAGGCCAAACATGTTGGCCATTTAGGAGGTGCTTTGAGTAAAAATTTACTCTTGAAGGTAAATCTGTGGCTACTGGTGGAATGTAGTTCTGACTGGAGCACTTGTCGTCATGTTAATGTTTCTGAATTCTGAATTTCAGGACAAGAAGCATCGGTTATATGTTATTTCTGCCCTTGCTGGCACCAAAGTTGACATGAAAAGTAGGTAACTTTGCTATGATTACATCTTATTGTTGCTTGTTTTCTGTTAATTAATCTTGTTTTCCTTGAACTTCTAGTTCTTTCTCAACGTCTTGGGTTGGGAAAAGGTGGTCTACGAATGGCTCCGGAAGAAAATCTTCTAGAAGTACTTCAGGTTGGCCATTTATACAATGTTCAAAACTTTCAGCTATTTATTTTTCTAATCTAACCTTAGAAAAACATAGGAGCAATGAAAAAAAAAGAACATAGTGCATCTTTCGGTTCCATTATTCCTGCACATATGGTCACACAAGTGGTGTCATCTAGTTTACCAGTTTCATTGAACATCAAGAAAGCTTGATTCTATCTTTATTCTTTACCAATGGTGTGCTATTTATAATGGTCACGCTAGTGGTGTCAGGGACTCCTATGTTTTTATGTAGAAATCCCCATCTTTACCAACGGTGTGCTATTCACGTGGTTTATTTTGTTGTAGGTTTTACTTCATAGTTAAATAGAACTGTTTGAGGTGAAGGCTTCTCCAGATGACAAAGTTTCTTATTACTATTTAATTGCTTGAACACACAAATAGAAGTTACTCCGTGTTTCTTCTTGTTCTTTTCTTTTCAGTGAGGAGATTACTTGAGCTTAGGTGCATGCTTGTTTTATTCGGAATCTAAACGAATAGTTCCTTTTTTCCTTAAAATATTTGCTAATCTGTTTTACTTTCTTATTATATCCAGGTGCCCTTAGGGTGTGTTACTCCTTTTGCGTTAATAAATGAGTCCGCAAGGTATGGGGTCTTGCTTTGACTTTATGATTGACTCTGTCTCGTATCTTTATAAATTATGATATCCTTGATTAATGGAAAGCTATTACAACCATAAATTTGTTCCAACTGTGATATAGTAGCAGGAATTTGGCTCTTCAATTTGTGAGTCATATTTCTGACAGCTAGATAGAAATACCTCACTGATGAAGGATAGACTGCTTGAGATCTTTAAATCTTGTTTTCTTTTTTAAAATGCTTTGTTCTCTTGCTTTTCTGCTTATAGTGATCTGCAGTTCTGTACTCTGAAGTAATGCTTGCTATTTTTCTATGCCTTTTAAATTAATGGTTTAACAAATTCATACAATTATGCTTTTGTGTGCAGTGCTGTTTCACTTTTACTTGATCAAGGTTTCAAGTCTAAACAGATTTGCTACTTCCATCCACTGACAAATGATGTGACAATTGGTATGGTTCAGAATAACAACACTTCTTTTTACTGATGGCGTTCCATTGCTTTAACTATCGATAATACATAACTACTGGTATTCCGAAATGCAAACTGTATATTAGGTGTTACGCTTCTGTGAAGTTGCGCAGATAATATATCCTGACGAGGCTAATGTTATATATGCAAGTTGCATTGGAGGTCACTAAACTTCTCTTGCATGTGCAAATAGGTAATGAATTGCTCGAAATTGAAGTATTATCACTAAACTTTCTGATTTGATCGTCTATAAGGTCCCTGATGCGGCAACTCATCTATTTCACAGTGACATGGACATTACAGTCGCATGAAAGAACATGATCCTTTTTTTTTTTTTGCAAAAACTATTAACTTCATTTTAAATCCATATGCCCCTTATATATTTTTCTAGCCTCATGCATGCAACTAGTAGTATAGTATACTATTTTTCGTCCACCCGATGCAGGTGCCAATTGCGCTGCCGGACACTTTTCTCCCAGCTGGTAAACTCGTGGGCATGCCATGTCGAAAACAGAGCCTCCAATTCTACGTTGTGCGCTTGCCCCATTGTGGGCTTGTGGCAGTCCCTCCTGCTGTTCATCATGTCCTGCGGCAGTGCTGCATGCTGGGCATCACTTTCGTGTGGCATGTGGGCATGCTTCTGAAGCAAATCAGTGACATGGTGTCTCCAAAAATTATCTACGCACTCATCACTGTGTTCCAAGCATGTCACTCTGGTCACTGAAGATCTCATAAAGCTCTAATATCATTAGAGTTGAGTAATGTCTGAATGAGTTAGCATGCGGATATATTAGTTGTTAACATGATTAGAATGTGATGGGTTCAATGCAAGGATCATAAACTATTCTCCCACGACTTCAATGTGAACCCATTGTCGTGCTGGCACTAAACACGGTGTCTCATTTTATAGTTCAGTGACCTATTTGCACATACAAGATAAGTTTGGTGACCTCGGATGCAATTTACCTGATATATTATTTTGTTTGATAGTTGATTTCTAATTTACTTCATCCAGCTCTTAGCTCAAGCAACCTTGACAAGTTTCTCATCTCCTTTGGGAAGCAACCTGCATATGTGGACTTGGAGGTAATGCTGGATGGATTGTCTACGTATTCTTTCATTTTTGTATTGTAGAGATGTTTTATATCACTGCTGCGGTACAGGCTGCACCAGCTGTGGGTAAGGATAATCCTCCTGATCTAGCACATTTGGTTCCATCTGGTGTGCCAAATTCCTCAGAACAACCAGTTGAGAACGCATCACATACTAATGTTCCTCATCATCAAAATAATGTGCCCAAAGAGACAGGTCAGCTATTCATGCATGCCATACTTTGTTTAAGATTTGCTTTATCCTCTATCTATAGACCATGATGGCAGTTCTGTTGTATCAACAAAATTCACATGATTTGGTGACCTTCCTGTGCATGGCCCACATTTGTTTGGATCACTGGCTAGTCGAGAAAAGTTTTTTCTTTAGTGTGCACTTATTATACCATATATATGACAGGGTAAGAGAAGTGTTTGGTAGAATTAGCATGCCCTTCTTTGTGAATCTGAATTATGCTTCTACATCATGCTCTCATGGTCATGGCTGGCAAGAGCTCTGTACTTTAATATGGTTCGAAAGTAGGTATGGGATTTCTTATGAGTGACACAAATGTTTATCACTTCCATCAGAGCAAACTAACACTAAGCTTGTGACCTTTGGTCCACACAATGTCGGCCAACACAAACATAGCAAATCATGTAGCAGCTGTCATGAGTTAATGTTTTTGCGTTTCTCATTCACCTAAGGCACCATTTGGATTTGAGGAATGGGGTTGGGAAATGTGATGAGGGGTAGGTTAAATTTAATCCAGTGTTTGTATATTGGCTTTGGAAATAGCAAATTAGACCTTTTCTCACCGGTCCATTCCTGGTGGAATAGCTGTTTGGTTTTGGGCTGAGCAATAAATCATTGTGTTCTCTCATCTGTCATCTCCCTTCTCTCTAATCTTCTTGCTCAGTGCCTCGACGGCATCGGCTGGAAACCAGCAGCAGAATGGCCAGAGACCTCCCACAGCTATCCTATCCGGTCACTGCCTCATGATCATGAGAACTTGGTATCAGTAATTCAGTATCCAACGATCCTCGATGGCTTCTGGTATGGATCAGTTCAAGATACAAAGGGGATGGGGGTGGGGGACCTCTGATAACAGACCCATACCCACCTCTATACAATCCACCTCCACCACCCCACTCCCATCCATACAAACAGTTTGCTATGCAGATGCCACCTCATATGCCATTGAAGTGGTCAATTGTGAATTGTGATCTTGGGTGAATATGTGACTATTATGTAGTACTTGACATGCACTATCATATGTACCTTTGAATATTGTCACGAACTGTTGGTGTTGAAGTACATAGATTCAATGATCATTTCTGGAACTGATTAGTTTCTATTCTTTGTCCTTAGCTCACATACATCATATTTCAAAGGAGGTTGCAACACTTTATGTTGCTTACTGTTGGACTATACTTATATATTTGCATTTTGTTTGCAACTTTTCCTGAGTTCATTTATGATTTCTTAAGTTTCAAAATAGTCAATCATGACAATTCGTCCATTATTAGAAGTGAAGGCTATCATGACAATTTCCAAAGTTCAGAGCAAGGGTGCAGAAACATCGAGCAAAGTAGATAAACCTACTACCAATACCAGTGTTGACAAATTTGTAAATGATGTGTTTGACATCATCTCCCCGTTATTGTCTGAGGTAATCCAGTGAGCTTATCTATGATAGCCTTCTTTTACAACACCTGTTCTTTATGTTGATAAATATTGCCATGCAGGAATTGAAGAAATTGGACATTAAGAAGGAAGAGCTTTCTTCGATCTTAGATGGCCTGAGGGGACGGGCAGATCCAGATTTGAAGAGTATAGCGGTTAGTTTCTGGAATGCTGTTTTTAGAAGACCTACTTGAATTATTTCTTACATGATACAACACCTTTTCAAATCCTTTTCCTAAAATGTGTTTAACGATGTATGCTCAGAAAAGGGCAACCCAAAGTAGAAAGTTGGGCCTTCCCCTGTATTTCCTTCTTCCTGTGAATTCTTCCAAGTAAAGTTGAATTTATTAGTCATGCAATTCAGCATAAAAGCAATTCATCAACATTTAATAATAGGCTAATGGCAATATCTTATTAAGTCTTGATTCCCGAGAGTCACCTGGAACATTCGTGCTGGGTCATTACCCCATGCCTAAGAATTAGAGAAAATTAAAATTTACTGTGCCACGCTTGAATGGAAATGGCCTGATCGGGACAAGAAATTTTTAACCTGTCTGTAAAACCTCATCATGCATTTAAACACATAATTGTGAACAATGTTGGCCCAATACAATAGTATAGAACTGATTATTTGGTGATATATGTGCGGTTGTATTTTACATTTGCTTCTACTATACCCACCAATAATAAGCAGTGAGAAGCCATTTTTTTTAACACACAGGACCTGCGCCATCAAGGTCTATGCATAACTAATGTGGATGTTTTCATTGCAGATGACTCTGAAGAATGCATCATATACCAATGGGTTTCACGCTGGTTTCAAAACCATGCTGCATCGTGGTTTAAACGGCTGACCCACTTGGGTCTAAATTGAATGGTTTGATACAAGAAACAGGAATCTGATTTACATATTGAATGAAATCAACATATTATTTTGATGCTCCCGTTCTATCTATGACGTCAATGCTCCCATTTTTGTTTTTGGATTTGCCTTTTTTCACTGAGAAGTTCAGTGTCCCATAACTAATGTGGATGATATATCATGTTAACATGTACTTACAAGATTCTGCTACTAGCTCTGCCAGCATCAGACATTCACATAGAAATGTCTTCGGTCCGTTTCAGAAATTACTGTTAACATGATATATCATCCAGACATTCGCTTTACATGGAGCCTGCCTTTTAATTTGGCACGCTTCTTTTACGATGTGTGATTTACTCGCTTTACATGGAGCCTGCCTTTTAATTTTGCACGCTCCTTTTACGATGCGTGATTTACTCGCATTTACAGTGGACGCGATTTCATTTTTACAAGAGCAGGTCTACATCTTCACATCAGGCTTCCACCAGTCTTCCACCGTTGACATTGAACTGGCAGAACGGCGCCATAGTTACCTGTAGTTTGCTGTTAGGTTTCTGAATTTGAAGTAGGAAGACTGGAAGAGAAGAATTTGATCACATCACTTAACTGGGTAGGAGGCGCTCTTCTCTGGATACGATAAGGACTCCACGAGAACATCTATATGAGAAACAGAGAGCGCCACCAAGCGTAGAATGCTGAAAGCAAATGATAGATGAGAAACGGCTTAGAAAAAGGCGAAGTTGATTAAACAGCAAGCTAAATTTATGCACAACTTGGCATGTTCCTTCGATATGTCGTCTTCGTACATCGCCCAGTTTTTTTTTTTCAGGTCATGAACGAGAAGAAGAAAACGCAGGTTGCCACAAGAACAAAGGACTGGAGGGCCGTCATGTCATTACCGCCGGCGTCGGCCGCGTCGTGCCTGCCGCGCCGCCCGTGCTCCCACGCGTCGTCGGGGTCGTCCATCCCGTGCGGTGGAAACAGCCACGAGAATGGCCCCCACCGCACCAACGTCGCGGGCTCTCTCTCCCTCTCCCTGTTGTTGCCGTTGCTTCCGCCGCGAGGTGCGGCCTGCAGGCTGCTGTCGTTGGACCCGGCTCCCGGCAGCTGGTACCGGCAGACCGGGCAGGAGTTGTGCAGGCGGAGCCACGGCACGATGCAGTCGGAGTGGTAGACGTGCTTGCACGGCAGCTGCCGCGCGGCCTCCCCGAGCTCGAAGTCCTCCTTGCACACGGGGCACTGCGAGCCGTCCGACAGGTGCGCCCCGTTGATCCGCACCGTCGGCAGCGAGTCGATGGCCGACGGCGGCGCCGGCGCCGGCCCCGGCCGGTCGTTCTGCGTGAGCTCCTCGATGAGGTTGTTCAGGTTTGGCCCCGTGAAGTAGTTCCCGGGGTCGATGGCAGGGGGCGTGGACGGCCGCCGCGACACTGGCGGCGGCGGCGGCGGCGGGGAGGGCACGCGCCGTCGAACCGGCGCCGCCGGTGCCGGAGCAGGAGGCGTGGCAGGTGCCTGCGCCGGCGCAGGCTGGCGGAACGCGCGGCCTGGTACCGTCGTCGTCGGCTCCCCGCCGTATATGACCCAGCGGCGTGGGTCGCCGTCGTACTGGTGCTGCGGGTGGAACGGGTGCGGGAGGAAGTGCGGAGGCGGGAACGCGGGGCGCGCTGGCGGGTCGATCTCGTGGAGGAAGCGGCCGAAGCAGCGCGGGCAGAAGACGTCGGTGGACGGGTAGGAGATGATGCGGAGCGCGCGGCCGCAGTGGTAGCACCAGTACATGCGGCACGTCCGGTGGCGCGCGTGCGCCGTCGTCGCCGACATCGGCGGGACGGTGGTTGGTTCGGTTCCTTGCGTCGGGTTGGTTTGTTGGTGCCTGCGTCCTGAGCAGCTGTAGCTCTCGGAGGATCGCCTCTGGAAGTTTGCATGGGAGTATGGGACGACGCTGGTTTTAAAGCGAATGCAGGTTTGATTGTTTGGGACGCGGAAATTGAGGCACGGGTGGGAAAGGATGGCTTCGCGGGAGGACGAAAGCGATTCTGTGGCGAGTTGAGATGAGATGAGGTGAGGTGAGTTCGCAGGGGGCGTGCGGTGTTTGGCGACGGTGACTTGTGCGTGGCGCCAAAGGGCGGGTTGCGTGCCGGCCAGGTAAAGATAGCAATGGGTATCCGAGACATAAAACTCGATGAGTTTTTATCCTACTAGGGCATGGGCGTGGATTAAAATCCTTACCCATGGACATATTAATGGATAAAAAGTCTTGCACATCGGGTATGCGGGTGTGGGCGTTGTATTATGTCACCCGAACACGCAAACCCATGAGCATATGTCAGCCTATCAGAACAGCCCAAATCCATGCCATATAAAAGAGATATGCAGCCGGCTCTAACCTAACCCTAGCACACATTCCGCTCCTCTCTTCCTATCCGTGCAGAGCGGCGGCGGCGGCGCATCAGGTGCAGCCGTGCAGGCACGCAGCACGCTGCACACTCCCGCTCTCGCACCACCCGACCACCGCACGTACGCACTCAGCACTCATCTCATGATCTTCATGGCCGTGCTCACTGGCTCCTACGACAACGGCTCTCATGTGTTCCCAAGATTGGTTACGTAAGTAAAAGTGCATCTAGCCCTTTAGTGGGTTTTGGATGATTGAATGACAACGTGATTAAAGGTCTAACTCGTTTGCTAAGTGTGGACAGGTAATAGGTTATCTCATAGGTACTTAATGAAAGCAAAAATATAATTCATACAAAGGCTTGTTTATTGTGGGATTTCCATATACTATGTGAAAGCAAGCTCGTAAGAATTAATTAATGAGACATGAGGGATTGCATATGGAATGGTCTCATATTTGAAGCTTGCTAAATTAAAATAAAAAAGATAACAATACAAATGAATGGATGATTCAACACAAGATGTGACTTTATGGCTTGAAATGGTGAAGACAGCAAGAAAAGGCTTTGAGGTACTAAGCAAGGGTGAAGGGCAAGCGACGGCTTAGCGGCCGAAGAACCTAGCTAGGGTGAAGAAGGAAGTACTTACATTTAGTTGAGGTACTAATTAAGCTACGATGGTCATGTTAATGTGGAGGATCAAATCACTATTGGAGTGTTTGATGGAAGTGACTTGATACATTTGGGATTATTCAAATTTGATGAATAGAATCAAGTCACGTGCTCAAGATGGCTTTGCTCAAGTGAAAAGATCAATATCAACATGTTGACACCCTCACTTGATGAAGATTGGAATACACGGCTTCGGTTGAAAGAGATCAACTCAAAAGGTTTAAATTCGTTATATTTTCAAATTTGAGTTAATAGGAATGTCGTACTATTAAGAGGAATATATCATGTTGATAGATAATGTTTCATAAGTGCTCAAGCCAACCCATGTGAGTTTTGAGTGTTTGAGAGATAAAAGAGCTAACCTGTTTTTGCTGGTCTAACAATACGATACCAGATGTGTCCAGTATTTTGCCCAGCAATGGTAATATTGTTGATCTTGGGTTGGTTCGTCGGGAGTTCCGACGGTCGGGAGTTTCGGCAATGGTCAGGAGTTCCGACGTCTCGCGCTTAACTGACTTGGAGAGTTCACTGTGGTGGTCATACCAGACGTGTCCGGTATTCATATCGGACGTGTCCAGTATGGACGGCCAGAGGCCAACGGCTAGTTTTCAAATGCCATGAGGGTCGGAAGTTCCGACGTGAGTCAGGGGTTCCGATAGTCGGAAGTTCCGGCATGAGTCGGGAGTTCCGACACCTCACATACTTTAACTCAGTTACCGTAGTTTTCAAATATGCTGAGGGTCGGGAGTTCCGACGTGAGTCGGGAGTTCCAACAATCGGGAGTTCCGGCATTCATCGAGAGTTTCGACGTCTCACATTATCACTGTAACTTAGTTACCGTTGGGGCAGTATAAGTCATATCGGACATGTCCGGTATGTGGCAACGGCTATAAAACGGCTAGTTTTTCCAAGGGGGCTATAAATACCCCGAAACCTCTACCTTTGGAGGCTGCTGATCCTGCTGATACACATACATGTTTTTGAGCCTTACCAACTCTCCCAAACTCTTTCTTAGTGAGTGTGTGATCAAAATTACCAAATCCAATTGTGGGTTGAGTGAAATTCAAAAAGAGAGCAATCCAACCACTTGAGCACTTGTGCATATTATCAATCTCATGATTCACATTTGTTACTCTTGGACTCTTCGGTCCTAGACGGTTAGGCGTCGCCGGAGAGCACCCGAGAGATTGTGGTGTGCCTCAGAAAGTTTGTAACGGTCGATTCCGCCGCCTCGGAATCAACTAGTGGAAGGAGAAAAAGGAGTTGAAAAAGACTTCGGCTAGAGTGACCTTTGTGGTACCCTCTAGGGCTGACCTTCGCTGGGTCGCCCGCAGCCCCCTCAACGGAGAGTAGGACTCGAACGAGTCCGAACTTCGGTAAAATAAATATCGTGTCTCAATTCGCATTTCATTCGATATTTCTGTTGCTCTAGCTCTTGTGCAGGTTCTCTGTGTATATTATCATCTCCAGTAGATATCTACAGTTTGGTTTGAAGATAGAAATCGAAATGAGCAAGTTTGGGGCTGCTCTGTAGAAACCGTGCATACCGGACACGTCCGGTATTTCCTGGTTGTGCAGAATATATTTGTTCTCTGTTCTAACTTTGTGTTGCAGTGTTGTAGCTTCTATATATATTCTTTATACCTTGTATACTCTATGTCTAACTTGTGAGGGGTGGTATTACTCTTTATTTGGAGTTTCTATTTTGGAAACTCCCTTTACTAATCATTTCCGCATTTAAATGTGTTAATTTTAGAAACGCCTATTCACCCCCCTCTAGGCGACATCCTAGGTCCTTTCAGTAACAAGTATAAAGGTATTATAAATGCTTGGTTTACTAGTTCTGCAATTTATTTCAGCAAATGTCTATGAATGGCTGCAAACTAATCCTTCTCCATTTTGTAGTTGATGAGAAATCTAAACAGCAGGCTACCTTTTGGTCTTGTCTTCAAGATATAGAAGAGGGTCTTCAGGTGATGTTTCTTTCTCTTGGACCTATTTTTATATTGGTTAGTTCACTAATGTGTTGTGTTTACTTCATGCAGGAACTTGTGATTTGAGATTTCCTCTCCAAGTTCAAGTGTTGCTGTACTTTTAGTTGTAAGGATGAAACAAGTCAAGTGCAAGAACAATTGATTTGCTGCTTCTAATTATGATTGTTATTTATCAATTGTGAACTTGAAATGAACTTGTAATAACCTTGTGGTGTGGCTGCCTTAATGGCCTGAACTCTTAGTGTTGTGGTGGGCGGTGGGATTGTGACTCTGTGAGTGGCCAAGTTGGTTAGTCTGGAACTCTGGATGAGATGACTGATGTTCCTGGTGCTATGTGCCTATGTGTGGTGCTGCTGGTGATTAGATCTGGTCATTTAATCATGAGACTTAAAACACTTATGCAGTGGTGTCAGAGACCTAATATCGGGGTACCCAATGAGGTGGAATTAATAATCATCGAACGTTGACGCTTCCGGTCAGACAAGAACGCTACTACGCTTCTTACCTGAACGACGAAAGATTGGTTCCACCTCACCCAACCCCTGAGGGCTAGACTCCGCCTCATCCGACCCCCAAGGGCTAGACTCCGCCTCGTCCGATGGCTGAGGACAGGCTCCACCTCGCCCAAATGTCTAAGGGCTGGCTCCGCCTCACCCGACGTCCGAGGGTGGGCTCCGCCTCACGCCGACGGCTGAGGGCAGGCTCCGCCTCGCCCGACGCCTGAGGACTGGCTCCGCCTCTCCCGACGGCCAAGGGCTGGCTCCGCCTCGCCCGACGACTACACCCTGTTCCTTCATAAAGACGAGCACAGGGTACGACGATACATTCGAGTTAACCGCAGTACCGAGGGCCATGCCCTGCATGCCTGCAGGAAGGTACTGTCAGGATACGATGGGACAGGCGCTTTAGGCCCTTTCCGATCTGACAGAGCCCGAACAGTGTTGTAGGCGCCGACTTTTGTCCCACAGTGTTGTAGGCGCCGCCATCAGCCCTCGGACGCGGATACTAACACGAGCACACGACAACCACTACGATCCAAGACAAAGCTCACATCATCCACAGTGACGAACGTATGCTCACTTCCCCGTCTACTCCCCGAAGGGTCACAGCTCGGCTCTCTGGCACGCCGCACTGTCCGTCGGTGTAGGATGGGATGCGCCCACTTGCTAAAAGAGGCCAGGGCACGGCCCTATAAGGATCAACGAACACGCCATTCCTGACACGGTCTGCCATGTTAGCAGAGCAGGCACAGGGAAAAAGGAAGACCCGGCTCCCACGAAGGACCTTCTCTACTTTTGGTTTTTTCCTCTTTCTCCCGTCTGTAACCCCTGCTCCCTCCTTGGTCTATAAAAAGGAAGGGTAGAGCACCCCACTAAGGGGACGGATCATTTTTTACAGACAAGACACAGCCAAGCAGCAACCGAGCTCTTGGCGTCCTTTCGACCCTTCCATCAGAGACTTGGGACCTGTCCCTCTCTCGACCGTTTGTACCCCCTACTACGAACCTTTTTTCGGTACTAATAACACGAGCAGCAGCAAACTGAACGTAGGGATATTCTGCCCGAACCAGTATAAACCTTGCGCAACAATTATAAATTTACTAGCCGGTGTTTGTTCGAAACACCGACAAGTGGATTATTGTTTATTTATCTTGTGTTCTTGGCTTGCTGGGTATGTCTACATATTTTATATTGTTTAATTGTCTAGTGTTTCTGGTTTGCTGCATATGTTTGCATCGGTAATATTACATATGTTTTTGGGT